GTATTTCATTCCGGTGCAGCATTTAGATAACAGGAAGAAGCTATTAAGGTACTTATCCACTGACATATCCTCTATTTTCATTATATAAACTATGAAATGATCAGAAGAAAATCTTCCCACATCAGTTCTCTCACATTTCTTGCACCGATTGAGGGGGGTTAATAGCTCACTTTTGTAGATTATTTTAAATTCATTAGATAAATCTTTAGATTAAGATCACCCTAGATGAACCTAGTGGCTAGCCGGGGTTAATGCACTTCTTGAAGCTTTGTTTTACCACAGCCTCTCTCTCTGGGCACCTCTGTCCCTCGGCCTTCACTGCATGTGACATCTGTGCTTCTGTGAGAAAGATGTAGAAGGAACTTGAAATGAGGCAGAATGACAATCTTCATTCTGCTCCACGGCCATCCTCATACTTGACATTCTTTCAATTTCCTGAAGAAGAGTGACTCACCAGAATCACACAGCCACAGTAGCTGGAATAACTGGTCTCAAGGTCTCCTAATACTTCTTTCTCACGTCAGCAATTCCTTTTACTTATAAAGTGGAAGATTGCTTTGCCGGAGATGGCTGTGTGTTAGTGACAGAAGGAAAGGAAGAGGGAGAGTATCAGCCGGTGATTGAAAAGAGGGTTTAACTTTGGGCATTTCTTCCTTCTCTTTGTTTTCTTTCCAGAGTCCACTCTGGTCGCTTAAGCACCATGGATCTGGGAAAGCTTCTGCCTACTTTTCTCCAACAGGTTAGTATACTTTGGGAAGCTAAGAGTCAGGCCTGCCTGTTACCTAGAACTGATCAGGAGGGAGGGAGGGAGAAGAGTAAGGAGAAGTAAGGCAGACCTGCTCTCTTCCCCCAACCTTTCCAATGATACTATCAGCTGAGCCATTCATGCGACTAACAAGGTGATGCCAACTTCCCTCCCATTCGGCAAACAAACACAAAAGTCTCAAGGTGATGCTAAAGAAACAAAGAAATCTCTGTCTTTTGAAATGTGGGGGGAAACTGTATAGGTTTTTTTCCTGACTTTTTTCCTCAATGTGTTCAGATGTATGTGTGTGTAATGGAAGTTGGGAATAAATGAAGGAGCAAATATGAAGATAATATAATAATCTCTTCCTTGAAATACTCAAGTTCCACTTTTTTTCTTTTGCCCTTTTTTGGTGTTGATTTTTCTACTCTAGTTTTCTAAGCTACGGATGAACCCTAAAAGTATTAAAATTATTTCCAAAAAATATTTGGGTGCCTACTACAAGGCATTATGCCAGGTTTGAACAAGATGAGAAGAGAGCTAAGATTTAGTTCTCCTTCAAGGTCTGCAGTATCATAGCAAAGGTAATTCATGATCATATTTGCCCAGAAATTTGCAAAAGCAGCTACATTTTACAAGAGAAAACATTTTAATTGTCTAGTGCTCACTGACAGCATCTAAATGTCACTGACATTTAACTCAAACCAAAAACATATTCTGAAATAAGAAACAATTAAATAAACACTTTTATGAGAAATAAGGATTTTGGGACAGTTTGCTCACTTGTGTGTCGTAAGTTGTAAAAAGCAGAGTTACACCCATGCCATATGGGAACTAGAGGGCTCTAAAGTAATATAACATCATCTACAATACATCTGCTTCATTTAAATTCAAATTTAACATTTATAGGTTTAATAGTTGGCATTGTGGCCTTGTATGTCACATAAAAAATTATATTTGAGAAAGATTTTGAATTTGGTAGGTAGCTGATTTAGAGTTATAAAGTCTCTTCCAAATCTTAAAATATTATATTCTAGTAGGGCACAAATGTAGCCTTTTGGAATAAGAAATCCAGGGGGAAATATCTATAGCTCAACATTAGTTTTTAATGCTGTATTCCTACCATTTGGGATGATAAAGACGGCTATTATATTGGTTTCATAAAATCTATTTATCTGTTTATAGTGGTTGACTGGCAAGCTGTTATAATTTACTACCAAATTTCTGGAAGCAAAATAAAGGAGGAAAAAAATCAACTAAAAACCATAAATAAATCTTAATCACGATTCCTTCCATGAAATGGGCACGTTGTGGGTAACAATTAACATCACCATTATTTGCTCTTTTCTTTTTTATCAGATGCTTAACTATGTTACTAAAATAGGATCCAATCAATGTCAAATGACTAGAGAAATAGTGTAAGAAAGAGTCTCTAAGTTGCTAGGAGCTGCACAAAGGAAGGCAGTAATAACATACTTTTTTCACTATTACTAGCCAGTCTCCTTGGTGATCCAGTGCAATTTCTTCACCTAAAGCACATTTATGTGGCATAGGCATTTGCTTCCTCTCTGAACTTCCTGTTTTCCTGGATGTGAGGTTCTCTGAGGTGCGCTTTCAGGAAACAGTCGCTTACTCAGAGGTCTGCTAGGAAGAGTGATTTGGAGCCGGTAGGCTCCAACTGCGTGCTAAAATGATAGCCTTGCTCTAACCTTGGGCATGTCATTGACATAAAAGTCCTTAAGTTCAGTTCAATTCACTTTCACTAGCCTCTCATACAGCAGGAGGCATTCAGTCATTGCCAAAGTCAATATATGAACTCTGGTTGCTGAAGGCAGCTGGTTTCCCATAGAATCATGTGTCCCCATTTCCTATTTCAGTCAGTTTATGATTCAGTGGTAGAAAATGCCAAAGGGAGTTGGCAACAGCGGCCTTTTACACTTATAATAGATTTTCTTTTTATGTACTTTGGATTTTTCTCCGGTATTGTGCTCAGTGGTATTTTTACTGTGTAATCAGATTGGACAGCTCTACAACAAGGTGCTGATTGGCAAGAAAACCTCAAGGTAAATGGCTTCCTCTCTGCCTTCAGTCCCAGAGGCCACCGGGCTGCCAGTCTATTACCAGGAACACGGGGTCCTCAGAGGGAAGTGGGGCTTTCATCTGCATAAGAACTAAGTCTCCAGGGCAGCCCTGGAATTTGAACATTCCTTGAGCCTCCAGTGATAAGTTGAGATAAATCAGGCCTCTCTGGACAGTCAGGGTCCAAACATCCTATTTCTGCTCTGCTTTCTCCCCCACTCTCTTCTTGGCTGGTGGGAAAAAGAAAAAAATCCCTCCTTCTAAGGTAAAGAATTAAGAATGGGAGTTATTTGTTATTTAAACAGCTATTTTGCTGTTTGGTTAAATCTCTGGTCTTCAAGTTGCATGGTTCTCTAGTTTTCTTGTCTTTTGTTTGTTATCACTACTATGTCTTTTGGCTTCTCTTTCTCTGTGGGGTGAAGTTTGATCTTTACAAAAAAAGAGGAAGTAGGCTTTATTTTTTTCTAATTTTTGTTCATTAGTTTTATAACCTTGCAAATGTCACTCGACTTCCTGTACTTATAGATTAATCTATAAAAAGGCACGTTGATATCTATTTCCTTTTATTTGCAGAACATTAACACTGTCAAATATTTTACATTCTTTGACCTCAACAGAACTTTTTCTAATAACTATACTGTTCAATTGTGAATTTAATATTGGAATACACTATTCCTTTCCAAATACTTAAAAGTACAAAAATACTTAAACCATATACTGCTTGATTCCATGTATTTGTATTTTAAAAGAGATTTTGTGGATGGTAAAATACTTCTCTTGAGGTTTCATATTCTAAATTTGATGTGAACAAAATATACTCCAATATTCATTCATATGAAACTAGTTTCAGCTTTTGAGTAAATTATATATTTTTAATTTCACAAGAAAAAAATTTAGTTAGTCAATGGCTCCTTATTTTCAACATTATTTCTCAGTCCTCCCCTACTTGTCTTCAGAGGAGGAACAGAAAGTACTCGAGGGCTTTTTGGATATTTGGGTATTAGTGTTAACAGGGAAATATTGCAGATTGTCTAACCCACTTCATAAAATAAACCTCTGAAATCTCAAGCTCCACCCCTACCCACCAACCTGACTTTGTCTGCTAAGCTCTGTCATTGTAGAAAACAGGACAGACTTGTTCTATGAGAAGTGCCATCTCATTTATATTGTCAGTTGTGAGTTGGTCCTCAAAGAAAACCTCCATATAGACCTAAAACCATCCACATGTCCTTCTGCTTGCACTAAAGGTAAAAGTACTTGAAAACTGTAAAACCATCTTAACCTTTCACCAGACCAAATGTCTAGCAAATGAGGACAGGATTCAGGACAACAGAGAAATGAATCTCTTCACCTGAGGTCTTATGTATTGGAAAAGCATGAGGTCTCTGAATCTTGTCTCAGGTTCTTACAAATTTGGAGGCCTTTCACTTCACTTCTCTGAACATTGGTTTGCTCATTAAAAAAATTGAGAGTAATATCTATTTCATAAAATTGTTATATGGATTAGATTGATGTGACATGGCTGGCTATAAAAATTCTCATCTTCAAGTCAACTATCTATATTATAAAAAGCCACTGGCCCTAACGCCATAACAACCAAAGACCTGCTCGGGTGGGCGGGGCTTCGAGCACAGTGAGGTGCACGTGGGTGGGTGGGGCCGTGAGATTTTGTGCGCTGGGCTTCTAGTAGATTATAATAGGTAATTCTGGTTCTACTATCAAAGCTAGAACGTTAGTCCATATTTGTCACAAAAAATTACGAAAACAATAGTATTTGTATGACATGCCATAGTTGACAAAGCATATTCATTTACAAAATATTTTCACTTATACATATTCAGATAGTAAGGGTATTTTTGCTACTCAGATATTCTGGGGAAGTTTTGATTAAGAAACATTAAGCACCCACGTGCCAGCATCTTGGCAAACTGACGTCCATTAATTATTTACCACATCTACATTGGACATATATACAAGATGGGCTAGTGCAGCAATTCTCAAACATCTGGGCTCGGGAGCCTTTTACATTCTGACAAATTATTGAGGACCCCAAAGAATTTTTGTATATGTGGAGTATATATATTGATACTTATTAGAAATTAAAACTGAGGAAGTTTAAAAATATTATTTATTAAAAATAACAAATCCATTATACATTAACATAAATAACACATTTTTTATGAAAATTAACCATATCTTGCAAAACAAAAAGAAATTAGTTTGAAGAGTGGTACTGTTTTACATTTTTGCAAATCCCTTTAATGTTTGGCCTAAAATTAGCTGAAATTATTTATATGTTTCTGCATTCAATCTGTTGCACTTATCACACTTCATGTAGTCTCTGGAAAACTCTACTATATGCTCATGAGAGAATGAGAATCAAAAAAATTTAAAAATAGTCTTTCTGTTGAAATAATTTTGACTTCACAGATCCCCTTGCTTCTCAGATACCTCCTTCAAGGGTTTCCCATTCCACACATTATCCACTGTGCTGGTGCCTAGTACCCAGTTATGACTCAAGAAATATTTGCTGAATGAAATAATGAATACCAGACCCTGTGCTAGGTACTGGGGACCCACAGCTGAACAAGATAAGAGTGCCTGCTCTTAAGTAGCTTAGACTCCCATGAAAGAGACAAGTATGCAAAACACTGTGCTACCATAGCAGTAAATACAAGCTACTATGGGAGTGGGGTGGTAAGAGGGTATCTTGCCCAATCTTGGTGTTGGGGTCCATCCCCAACAGGTCCAGGGGTTCCCATAGGTGTGGATGAAGTCGGCGAAGAATGAAGGACACGGCGGCAGCGTTCAGTTGATCATCATAGCCAGGGTCTCCAGCCAGGTTCTCCTTTTTTTTTTTCATAATAAAAATTTACTCTTACACAAATCTAGTGTTTGAACAGAAAAAGAAAGCCCCACTGTCGCCTAGAAAGAGGACTTGAAGCAGCACGTGGGAAGCAGAGTGGCTCCAGGATGTCAGGTGTGTGGTTACCGGCTCTGCTCAATGTATGTGGAGATGTCAATTTCTTCAGGAAGCTCCGCCACATTGACTTCAAACCTATCCTGAACATCATTGAGGATTTTGGCATCATTCTCATCAGACACAAAAGTGATAGCCAGGCCTTTGGTGCCAAAGCGACCGGCACGGGCCACCCGGTGGAGGTAGGTGTCCGAGTCCTCAGGCGTGTCATAATTGAAGACGATGTTGACTCGCTCAATGTCCATCCCTCGGCCAAACAGATTGGTGGCCACCAGGATCCGCTGCTGAAAGTCCTTGAACTGCTGATAGCGTGCTAGGCGCTCCTCCTGGGCCATGGCCCTGTGGATGGCGATGGCTGGGAAGTTCTGTTCCACGAGCAGCTGGGCCAGGGCCATGCAGCGCTGCACCGACTTCACGAAGATCACCACCTGGTTAAACTCTAGCACGTCCAGGAGGTCGAAGAGTTTACGGTTCTTTTCTTTCTCTTTGAGCTTGACATAGTACTGCTGCAGCCCATGCAGCCTGAGCTTGGTCTCGTCGTCCACCAACACCTCCATGGGATCTCGCATGAACTTCCTGCAGACGGGCCGGATCTCCTTGCTCAGCGTGGCACTGAACATCATGCACTGCTTCTCGCGTGGCGTCAGGCGAAAGATCTCCTGTACATCCCGCCGCATGTCCAGCTGCTCCAGCATCCGGTCACACTCGTCCAGCACGAAGTGCTTCACGTTTCTGAGGTTGAGGCTCCTGTTCCGCACGAGTGCCAAGATGCGACCTGGAGTCCCCACCACGACGTGGGGATAGTTCTTCTTCAGCACCTCTTCGTCCTTCTTGATGGAAAGACCCCTGAAGAACAGGGACACCTTGACACTGGGCATGTACTTGGAGAAGCGCTCATACTCCTTGCTGATCTGAAAGGCCAGCTCCCGAGTGTGGCACATGACCAGGACGGTCACCTGTCCATTGACGGGCTCGATCTGCTGTAGGGTGGCCAGCACGAAGACTGCAGTCTTGCCCATTCCAGACTTGGCCTGGCATAGGACATCCATGCCCAGGATGGCTTGGGGAATACACTCGTGCTGAACCTCAGATGGATGCTCAAAGCTACAGTCCACTATGGCCCTCAGGAGCTCAGGCTTCAGCAGAAAGTCCCGGAAGCCAGAGCTGTGGATGGAAACGTAGGACCCCTTGACATCTTTCTTGGGGAGTACTGGGGTGCTCTCTGTAGGAGCCTGGGGCTCTTCATCTTCCTCAAAATCCAGAAGCTCGTTTTCCACATCCTGTTCTGCCATAATACTAGTTTCCCGTTCGCCTCCGTGCGCTCCGAGAGTCGACCCACCACTTCCTGCCTCCTGCGTTGGACTGAGCACCAGATTCTCTCTTTATTGTCCTGTTACATCTGTATTTATACCAGTTGATTTTAATCCTATCCATTGTATTCCAAAGTTTAGGGCGTTTGTTAATCTAGTTCTGTTGAGTTTAATCCTATCAATTCTATTCCAAAGGTTAGGGCGTTTGTTAATCTAGTTCTGTTGAGTTTAATCCTGTCTAGGGTAATCTCTGTGGTCCATTATAAGGGATATTCCAAGGTCACTGCTCTACTGATAAGCTATAAAGAAGTGACTGAAGGAGATTATCCTACCCAGTAAAGGTTATATCCTCCCTTCCCTGGGACTGCCCTGTGTCGGTGGGTCTCCAGGGGTATAGGCTTTGGTGCTTTCCCTGGTGGGCAGACCCCTGGGGATGTGGGCCCAACAAGTCCCAAATTTATTGCCAACAGTCTTAGTCCAAGTTCTTCATAAGTAGTACATAGTATTTCTGTACACTAGGGGGTTTCACTTATTTATCCTCTTCCTTAGTCCTGTTAATCCCTAACTTCAGGGAAAAAATCCTCACCTGGGGAAACAACCTTTCTCGGGGAGGTGGTCTTGTTTAAAACACATAGCGCTAAGAGGGGGAGCAAACATATTTTCTTAAAAATATATTTTATTGATTTTTTACAGAGAGGAAGGGAGAGAGATAGAGAGTTAGAAACATCGATGAGAGAGAAACATCTATCAGCTGCCTCCTGCACATTTCCTACTGGGGATGTGTCCGCAACCAGGTACATGACCTTGACCAGAATCGAACCTGGGACCTTTCAGTTGGCAGGCTGACGCTCTATCCACTGAGCCAAACCGGTTTCGGCGGGAGCAAACATATTAAGAACAGTATGCCACATATGCCAGGTCCCTTGAAACATATGCTGTGCAGATGTTTCTTCCCTGCAGCGACGGTGTCAAGCAGCAAGGATGGACCGGCTTCCGGCATCTTGGGAGATCAAGGAAGGCTCTAAGAGAAAATGATGGCTGAGCTGAGACTTAAAGGAGAAAGCCAGGTAAGGAATGCTAGTGTAAAAAAAGAGTGAAGGCGGGAGGGGTGGGGGTGGTAACAAGGCTTGCTAGAGTTTTTATAGAGAGCAAGGCATGGCAGGTTGGCCAGAAATAAGAATATGGATCATGTAAATTTCCTAAAAGTCTGAAGACTTTAAGCACATACATAAAGTTTAGGAAGGTCACTCTGGGTACAATGTGAAGAATGAGTTGGGATAAAATTGGAAAGGCCATTGTAGAGAGGTGAGGCCGGAGATATTGGCCTCGCTAGAACAGGAGTAGTGGAGATGGAGAGAAAGGAAGAGTTTAGACATCTCTGAGAAGGAGCCATTGACGGGACTTTCCCATGGCTGTCAATGGTGAGAGGGAGGGGCTGAGTATTTCTGGCTCAGGCCACTGGGTTGATGATGATACCATTTAGAGATTGAGAACAAAGAAACAAGTAAAATGAGGATTTAATTTGGGATACATTGTTTTGAGATACATTGGAACTTGGGGATGTATATCTTGAAGGCAGTCAGGTATGCAGATTTGTAGTAAGAAAAGAGAACTAGAAATTTTTATTTAGGAGTCATTAGCATAATCACTGAATCCATGGCAGTGAATGTGATCATCAAAGGAGAGTATAAAAAGTGAGATAGGAATAAACTGACTGGGACACAACTCTGAGGTACATGGGCATGTAAGTGACAGGCAGAAGATGGGCATCCTGGAAGTTAAAATACCGTGCTATAAAGAAGCCAGAGGAAAACTAGCAAAGTGTGGTTTCACAAATCAAGGGGCTGTAAACGCAGCAGGCCTTGATCACCAGTATCAAATGCTGCCAAGAGGTCAAGTGAAATAAGAAAGAGGGTCCACTGGATTGAACAAACAGGTTATTAGTGACTTTGTTTAGAATCTCAGTGGAGTGGCAGGGGCAGAATCGAGACGCACTGAATAAATAATCCATTGACTGAAGCTCTTGGGTGGACAGGAGGCAACAGAATCCAGAGGACAGGCATGAGCAGATCAAATACAGAGAACATGCAGAAATCCGTGCCTCGGACAAGGTAGATACCTGATGCCCTGCAATGTCGGGCAGGGTGGGCATGGGGGCAGGCAGGCTGATGAAGATGGAGACAGGAGGTTGCTGGCGTTCCTCTCTGAAGGGTTCTTTCTGCTGAGAAGAAACGAGGGAGCAAATGAGGACTTCGGAAACGTACCAAGATGCAAACCAAGCTGTTTCCTTAGATAAAATGTCCTTTATTAGAAAAAAGAAATCGGAAACATTTCAAGTATACAGAGCAGTATAGAAAATAATTACAATTTAACACCCCATGTATCCTCCACCTGGCTCTAAGCTTTTGCCACATTTTCTGCAGATTATTTTTGGGACAAAATAAAGCATTACAGATGCAAGGGAGCCCTATTACATTCCCTTCCCTTCCTCTCCATGAGTAAATCACTATTCTGAATTTGGTGTCCATCACTTCCTTATGTGATTTCCGGTTCTTAAACTTTTGTATACCATATATGTCTTTCTGCAACCTGATTCCTTCCCTCCCCTCTCAATATTATGTTAATGGATTCTGTTTAAATGAACACTAGTACCTTTGGCTCATTAGTGTACATTTAGTATTCCATGTATGTCCATTTGTCCAACAAACGTAACTTATACATCTACTCTCCCACAATGGACATTTAAATTGTCTCACTAATATAAGCAATGCTGTTATGAACATCCTTATGCCGGTTCATGAATATATATATATATATATGGTATAAGTTTATATTTATTTATTCCTATGTAAGTCCTAACATGCAGCTTAATAGGAAAGATAACCCATGTGCATGAATTATACAGGCCATTCATTCGTCTTCAAGAAGGGCTCAGAAGCCGATGGATGAGTGACGCTCTCCCTGGAAAGCGTTTGGAGGCGGCTCCAAGGGCCACACACTGTCAGTCCTGGATGCCTCATTCACGGTCACCCCGTGGCCTCACGTGCGCCCATTCATTCTCTCAACTCAAGTGCGCGCCGCCCCCCCCCCCACACCCCCCCCCCCCCCCGGCCGGACCCGGGCCCAGGGCGGGCCTAACGCCGAGGGTCCGCGGGGGCAGCCGCGCAGCCGACCCCTGGGCTGTGCCAGGCCCCCAAAGTGACAGCGCCCGGGGGGTGTGGGGCGTCCAGGGCCTAATCTCACTTGCAACCCCGCGCAGGAGGCTGAGGCGGCGGGGTGGACGGGGCACGGACGCTTGCCTCCAACTGTCTCTCCCCTCCACGCGCCACGCCGCCAGGTCAGTAGCTGGGAGCCCGGGCGCGGACCAGGCCCCCGCCCCGAGCGCCGCTCCCCAGCCGGGCCTCCCCCGGTGGCGCCTCTCCGCCTTACGCCAAATCCGTAAGGAGGCGCCGAGGCCAACCGGGCGGCGCCCGCCTCCCAAGCTCTGACGTCAGATCGCGCGGGGCGGCCCTCGCGGCGGCCATGTTTAGTAAGGGCAACCCCACCCTCGCGCCCCACTGGCCTTCCCTTCACACCTTCCTCAGGCTCTTCACGGACGAACGGGAGGGTTTAACCTTAGAGGCAGTGTTGAAGAAGCCTGCTGACGCCTGACTGCCCGTGGCCCCGGCGGTGCCCAACCCCGCCAACTTAAACATGGCGGCCGCCCCCGAGCGGCAAACGAGCGCGTACGCCAATGAAGTCATGCCCACCATGGAGCAGGGCGGCGAGGCCGTGAAGGGGAAATCTCGCGAGATCTCAGAGGCCGCCGCGCGGCCCGGAAGCCTCTCGGAGGGGGCGGGGGTGGGGGCGGGGGCGGGAGGCGTGCGCGAGCCGGAGGAGGAGTCCGGGTGCTGCGAGCTGCGCAAGCCGGGCAGCGACGCCGGGCGGCTGCGCCGCGGAACTGGCGTAGGCGGCCTTGGAGAATCGCGGGCTGCGCCGCTCCCCGGCTGGTCGCGGAGGGGGAGGGGATGTCGGTCAGTGCGAGATCCGCTGCTGCTGAGGAGAGGAGCGTCAACAGCAGCACCATGGGTGAGTCTCAGCTCCGGGCCGCCCGGCGCGGGTCGGCGGCTTCGGGCGCGGGGGGCCGCTGCGGCCGCGGACCGGGCCGGGGGAACGCCCTGAGGCCAGGCGGGGGCGGCGGCGAGAGGAGGTGGGGTGGGGGCCACGGCGGGCCCGGGGCGCGGCGGCGGCGGGCCCGGGGGGAGGGGAGGCGGCGGCGGTGACAGTTTGAATTGAAGGCGAGGGGAGCCGAGGCGGCGGCATTTCCTGTGCCGCGGCGGGCGGGCCCGGGAGCGGGGAGACGGGAGCCGCGGCCTCCGGCGCCGCGGCCGGAGCAGCCCGCGGGGGTCGTCTGTGCCCGGCCCGCCGGCTTCCGCGGCCCGGCTTCCCCGGGAGGCCGGCCGCAGCCCCGCGGGAGCTCCCCTCGCGGGAGCGGCCCGGCCCGGCGCGGAGGTGGGGGGTGTGGGCCGGCCCGGCGGGCGCGGGCGGGAGGAGGAAGGATGCGCTGGGCTGCGGCCGCGGGGAGGCGGCGGCGGCTGCTGCAGCGCTGCCCCTGCCGCCGCTCGGGCTTCCTTCCCCCCGGCGCGGCCCCGAAGGCCGGGGGATGGCGGGCGAGGCTTGAGGACCGAGTCTAAGGAGCCCGCTTTGGGCTTAATTTGTAAGAAAAAAAGAGAAAGAACGTCGGGGAAGGGCGCCCTCCCGAGGAGTGGAAGCGGGTGGGAAGGGTCGCGGGGAGGGGAGGGACCCTTCATTTCTGAAAGTGTGCAGTGTTCTCGGGGACTGTACGGAGCCCTTTCGTTTCCTCCGCTCCCCCCGCGCGTCGGAGAGAGCGAGGCCGTTTCATTCACATTTTCCACTGCCGCGCTCCCTGGCGGGCCGGGCGGTGGGCAGCCGGCGGCGAGTGTCCGGACGCGCGCCCCTCGCTGCGGGACGGGGTGGGAGCACCCTGTTTCCCACCGGGGTTTTCCCCGCGCGAGGCAGGAACCGTGGCTCCCAGGTGCCTGCTCCGTGACCGCAATAACGTCGTTGCGAGTTCATTGTCCGAGTTCAGCCCTAAGGTTTCTTTTGGTCTATTTTGGTAAAAGGGGAAGGGTGCCGAGTGCCCCTGAAAATCTAAATGAACGGGCAGTCCGGATTCAGAACATGTGACTTGTTTTACACATTGACATACACGCAGGTGACGCATGTGGTCCGCACCCCGTCCCCCACCCCAACCCCCAGCTTATGAGCAAGTTGGGGAGGAAACGTTTTAGGCGTTAAATGCACAGATAGCGATGACATGAAATTTATGGAAGCCCGGTAGACGGAAGGCCGGTGCCTTCGGATATAAACGGCTACAAAGCTGGTTGCTGCTGCCTGGATCCCTTGTGCCTCCAAATAGCCGGGACGGGGCGAAGGAGGCGGCAGGAAACGGTCCCTCACCCACCCAGCTGTCGGGTGCGGCTGGAGGCGGGCGCGGGCAGCGGGAAGTGAGCGTGGACGCGGCAGGGGTGGGCTATCTGGTCACTTCGCGTCAGTCTGGGGGGACAACACGATGTTAGCCTGATTCTCTCTCTTTTCCCTCCTTTTTATTGAGAAGCCAGGTTCTTTCAGTAAGGTTATTAAAAATGTCACCT